GTTGAAAATGGCGCAGTTACTGCTAGAGCAGAGAGCCAGGAAGAACAGCCGCCTTTAGCAAATGTTGTGCAATGTTATTTTATTGAAATATGTGGCAATTGCCTGGGTGAACTATATGTGTCGTATGGGCTTTGCATCAGAAATTGTCACTGATTTAGGAACATCATTCACTTGCAGATTAATGAAAAAGCTGTGGCAACTTTGGGGCATAGCTCATATCACATCATCCCCATACCATCCTCAGACAAATGGATTAGTGGAGACATTTAATGGGACCCTAATGCGAATGATCAAAGCTTATATGGCTGAAAACCCCAATGACTGGGATCACAATATGCATCCCTTGTCATATGCATACCGGTCTGTACCCCAGGAAAGCACTGGTTTCGGTCCATTTGAACTGTTATTTGGGCAGAAAGTGTGGGGACCCTTGGATTTATTCAGACAAAATTGGGAGGAACAACATGGAGAAGACCCTGAGACAATGATCCAGTACATAGAGAAATTAATGAAGTCCTTGCAACAATCTCTAAAGTTAGCCGCAGAAAACTTGCAGAGCCAGCAAGGGAAGCAAAATTTATGGTACGATAAAAAGGCCAGAGAAAGATCATTCAGTCCAGGAGAAGAAGTCCTGATACTGAGACATATAAAAGGGAATGAGCTGCAATTAAAATGGGCAGGTCCTTTGAGAATAAAATCCAAGATGAAGGAAGTAAATTACATAATTCAGGAGGAGAGAGAGGAAGGTCAAAGAGTAGTCCATGTAAACTTGATCAAGTTTGGAGAATTCACTGTAGCATACATTCATGATATAAGAATATATAGTCAAACGTAGACAGATCACCTATACCATATTGAGAAAGTGCTACAGATGTTAAATGAGGCCGGATTAACAGTGAAGGCTAGTAAAATGCCAGCTAGGGAACTCTGAGTTAAAATACTTAGGCCATATTGTTGGGGGAGGCATAATCAAACCCCTTACATCGAAGACTAAAGTAATCATTAGCTGGTCTAGACCAACAACAAAGAAAAAAATCAGATCTTTCTTAGGGTTAGTTGGCTATTATAGGCGCTTTATCCAGAACTTCAGTGAAATAGCAGCCCCTTTATCAGACTTAACCCATAAAAGAAAAGCTGATAAGATCCAGTGGTTGAGCGACTGTGAGGAGGCCTTCGAGGAGTTAAAAACTACATTGATGACCGGTCCTGTCCCAAGAGCACCAGATTTCCATCAAACTTTGCTGAGCCAGGAGGATGACAACAGGGACCTTCATCCGGTGACGTTCCTGAGCAAGAAGCTGCAGGATGGCGAGAGATGCCTTTTCACCATAGAACGTGAGTGTCTGGTGATTGTATGGTCTTTGTGAAAGATCGGACCGTACATATGGGGAAGACATTTGTTCTTTGCAGAGACCATTCCCCACTGCTGTGGTTGCAGACCAGAGCGAACAATAATAAGTTGATGAGGTGGGCCCTACTCCTACAAGACTTTGAGATCTGGAGTGTTAAAGGGACTCCAGATGCCTTGTCAAGAAAACCAGAAGACTGACAAAAGGGACTAATGTAATATGTAACTTCAATGTTATAAAAACTATTCTAATTAAAAGTTCTAAGTGTATATTAATTTGAAAAATAATTAAAAATGTAAGTTATATATGAAATAATGGTAAGTAAGGCTTGTATTGTAAGTAATAGAAACATTGATAAATGTAATTTAAATATAAAGTAATGATACTAATATGTTTGTGAAGGCTTTCACGGCTGGGATCTAATGGTTGTTGTGGTTTTTTCGGGCTCTTTGGACGTGTTCTGAAGGTTGTTCTTCCTAAAGTTTCGCCAGTCTCTGTGACTGGAATCATTATGTCAGACTGCACAGGGAAGCCATTGAAATCCACAAGCACCAGCAAAACTTCAACAGAAAAGAGGAAAGTGTGAAGCTCAACAAAAACAGTCAGAATATATAAATAAATAAATAAAACAAGCAGAGGACACTGGGGGTGCGCGACAGTTCCTCCTTGTCTTTCCATTGTTTTGCCACTTGAATTCTGGTTGCGCCTAATATGTATAAACAAATTTTTGTCTCTTGTCTCGAGTTTAACTTTACCATATTGAACAAATAAGTTTCAGGTTTCATCTACATTTTCATTCTTTCTGACAGCTGTCTGTATGGAAACCACTGGTATATTATTCCAACTTGATTCATTTCTTGTCTTCTTCTTAATCTTAGTTGTCCATCATCTTCCTCTGTGAGTAGATCTTTATATGTTAACCATTTATCATTCTTTATGTCAACTTCGTTTGAGAGAGCTTCATGGGGGGACATCCACACTGGAATCCCATGATAAAATGTCTCTTTATATTTCTCCTATACTCTTATTAATGATTTTCTTATTATATTATTTCCAAAAGCTTTGCTGACTTTCTTTTTTCCATACCATAAGTATGCATGAAGTCCATATTTTAAATCTTTGCTTTCTAGTATTAATATTTTTTCATCCTCCAGTCTTATCCACTCTCTTAACCATTGTAGTGCTGCCGCCTCATAATATAATTGGGGGTTTGGGAGACCCCATCCTCCTCTCTTCTTGTCGTCTTGCAAGTACCTCAATTTTATTTTTGGTTTTCTCCCCTGCCAAATAAAATTTGAGAGTTGTTTTCTCCACAAATGAAATGGTTTGTAATTTATTATTATCGAAATATTATTATTGAAATATGAATATGAATATAGGTAATACCATAATTTTGATAATTGCTATTCTGCCCAAATAGTAAAAGTAGGTTTAAATTTGATATGTACTGTACAAATATCATTCTTCATGCTCACCAACTCCAAAAATCAAACTTTGTAAAGACTTTTTTCTTTTCCCCCATGACTTGAAAATTTTGTTTCATTTCTCTATTATCTAAAATGACTTTTGTTAAGCTAAGAGAAGAGCATGAGCTCTCTCTAGTGGTAAGAGTGTATATTTGATACTTCAGCTGCATTCTCCACAAAAGAGAAGTACAGAAAGATTTAAATCAAGACCTTCAACTAGGGAATCATAAGACACCATAAGTATCAAGAACTTCTGCTAAAAAGTTGGAAAGAAAGAACCAAGAAGGACTATAACAATTAAATGGGACAAGTACATAAAGATAAGCATTTGTAAGGTACCATTGCAATAAAATGCCTTGCACCATTAAGGGAAGCTCAAGTGCACTGACTAAAACACATGAAATAATATATTTTATTTCTTTTATGTAAAAATGCACATATATCCCACGAAACAACCAGAATTTCAAAGTGAATTACAACATACAGAACAATGTACACTGAGTTTTTAAAAATCACCTCACCATTCATGTGCAGATAGAAAATTTGAGGACTGTTTCTGGAGACTAGGCATGAGAAGATTTTTTTTTCACCAGATGAGGCAAGAGAAACAGCCAGTGTGTGAGGGGGGAAAAGAAATATATACATGCTAGGGAATTCATCTCCTGAGTATTGTGGCACCAACCATCCCCTTGTTACTACAGATAACTAAGAGTTATTTTAATACCAATATTTTAATTTATTGTGATGTTAAGCATATGTATTTTTAGCTGCTATACATCACCTTGAGTCCCTTCACTGGGAAGAAAGATGGGATATTAATAAAGTAAATCAATCACTACAACAGAACAAAGAGCAAGGAGAACAACACACACAGTAATCAGCAACATTTTCTTCCTCCTACTGCCAGAGAAAGGAAGGGAGGCTTGAAAAGAACAGTATTTGGAATGGCCAGTCAAAATTTTAAAAAATTATTTGGAAGTGATCAAGCATTACATCCCAAAGGAGCCATGAGCTCTCCCTGATATATATAAGAAAA